ATGACTCCTTCACACATTCAGCTCATATCATCTTATCCCTCAACCACCACTCAGTAAGGCAGATGCCATGTTCTTCCCACTCCAAAGAAGAGCATGTAGACTGCATCCAATAGATTCACAATGCTCCGTGAGGGTGCTGGACCAGAGGCAGGGGTAACAGCCTCATCAGGGAGGCAGGTGATGTGTTGGAAAAATGAACCAATAAGGGCAACTGAGGTGGAGCAAAGGGCTTGTGTGTAACCCAGTGGGCTCCTTACTGTACCATGTCTCATGCCTTCCAAAACATCTCCTGCTATAATACAGATGAGTTATCTGTTTTATTTATCTAGCTATCTATGTATCTATTAATGTATTGATTCCTTTATCCTGAGAGAATGAAGATATAGTGTCTTAACTCCTTCCAAAAAAGGGAAAATTATGAGCTCAATCAGATACAGAACTTACCTCAATGTATTAGCTAGTTATCATGTTCTAGAGGTCTGAGATGACAAGATACTCCAAAGAGCTACAGTGTCTGCTATGTATCTTTAGGAATAAGTGGCCTAGGCATCAAGGTGTGGTTTAAGAAAGTGTCTAGAATCCAGTGACCCAAGGCTCTGTGAACACTCTGGCTATGAGATGGCACCAAAGCTCTATGAGCCTCACAATATTCATCATTCATGTAAAATGGGGATGTGAGACCTAACTGATCATGTGGTGGGTTCCCACTGACCATAGAAACAAAAGTATTTGAATACTTAAAACCATTACAGACATACAAGAGACTATCTTGGCTAAATCTACTCTGCTGGATTTCCCTCTCACTGGCTCCCAGACATCTAAGAACAAACCATGGCTTATTCTATGAGGGTATTGCTTGGAATATTGGGATTCATGTGAGGTTACTGCTAAGGTTCAGAAATATCCATACTATGGAGGCCATATCACTTTGACTGGACAGGGGACTCACCCTCCTGGAGACATCATTTTTGCTGTCAATGTTCTGGATAAAGGTAGAATCCTCAAATAGGAAACTGGCTCTAAGATGCCAAACTATTCATAGGCCACAGGCAGGAAAACATGGAAACATTGAGGTATTTAAGTGTCCAGGAATATGTTCCCTTGTCCTAGGAAACTAGGCTCTGCCATGCAGAAGATGACCAGAACCTAAGAAGTAGGGCTAGATCAGACAGAAGATGACATGCCTGAGACTAAAGTAAAAGTATATATGCTCATAACACTCTTTGTCTTGTCTTTTCTATAGTTATCATCCCTTTTGGTGCTGTCCTAAGAAAAATAGAGTTTGGTTACAATAATTGGTCCACAAGAACAGAAGACAAGCTGTAGTAAGACAAACAAATTATAGAGACACACACATCTTCCTTGCTTCCACTATACACAGGCTTATCTCTTAAAGCTGGGGTAAAGTTTATCCTGCTAAGGGGGTAAGCCCTCAATGTACTATTTGGAAGACAGAATCGGGAGCCCATTGAAAGTTCTTTCCTTTCCCTTCTGAGTAGAAAGACATCCCTCATGGCATCAACCTTAGCCGTTTACAAGAATTTTATCTCATAAAGGCAGTAAAAAAGTTTGTTTTGGGCCCTCGCCATAGACTAAAACATAATTACCTCACCGGATAAACCATTGTATACTTGCCAGGAAGTCATATAAAGGATAGCAGTCAAAGGGCAATAAAAAATGTGCCGTATTTTTTTCCTCTACGTACAGCAGAGTTGGAAAGATATCTATGGATGGGGGCCCAAAAGTGGTGAAGTTCTGGTCAGGGCAGTCTGTTGTCAAATTGTGAAATCATAATTCCCCTTCACATTTTTAAGATCCACAGAACACTTGCGTAATCTCACCCAAAGCCCACCACAGCATGTGATGATTCCCATTTTTCAGAGCAGTGAACCAAAGCTAAGGATGACTTGTGAAAGTCATATAATTGACTTGTCAAAGTAATATACCTACCTCTCACAGATAGAGCCAGAACAAGAGCCCAAGCCTTCCGATTCTGGGGCATATATGACTTTCACATTTGTAACAACTATTTCTACAGTAGTGACTGGATGGAGGATGAGAAATAAGACCAAAATCTGGGTAGCCAGTTAATATAAACCTTTCCCTAATGTGCCCTTCGAGATTATCAAGGGGTATATGCTCCAAGCAATCTTTCCCCATGGAATAGAAACTGTGACACATCTGAAAGAAAATAGAGCACAAAAGACCTTATAACAGAAATCCACACACTGACACTGAATCCAGAACCTCAACTGTCCATGGCTAAAACCCTTGCCTAGAATAGATTAGAGATACCATGTCATCACACTCCTCCTGCTTCTAGATCCCCATATATACAGCAGGGAGTGAGGAGATCCAGGGAAATGTACTGCTTTCAGATTCCCTTTTCCATGTGGAATGAATGCACAAGTCTGTACTGGATGAGCTGTACTGGGTGAGCTGTGAGAGATCAAGGTGAGGAACTGAGAAAGGGAATGTGTTATTTTTCAGCCGCAGCAAGTTCAGCTATTGGCTGCCGTCTGCTGGGGCCCTGCTACAATCTGAGCTGTGCTGACGTGTTGACATACTGCATGCCCATGAGGCTTTTCCTGACACCTGGTAAGGATGTGGGAAGCACAGCAGAGGAAGAGGAATATGTCCATGAATTAGATTTGAGCCAGTGTTGACTGTGCAGTGTTCCGCAGAAAAGTCCTAGATGCCATGCAAAGACTCTTTAAATACCCCTGGCTCTGGCTCAAAACCAAGCAGCTAAGGGTGCAAAGGTTTTATGAGTAGTTGGAGTAGAAAACACACATACACACAAACACACACACAAAAAAAACATTTGGCAGGTTCAGCACCCACAGAATCTCAGAACATTAACCAGATAATTTCAAAACAGATGCTTTCTCTGGCAGGGACTGAAGCCAATGACATCTTGTTCCCCTCTTTCGAGTTCTTCACCCATCCCTGGAAAGGGAGTTCACTGAGTTTATCAATCTTGTTGAGTTGGGATGAACAAATTCGTGTTCTTATTTTAATTTTATTTTAAAGAAAATCATACTTGGAACCCAGCATCAACAGTATAGAAGGTAATAAATCAACGAAAACCAGCAACTCGTTTTTTAGGTGAGGAATTAGAGACTCATAGGTGTGAGACTATTTACAAAAGGTCTAGACCATCGATGTTCAACCTTTTTCATCTCATAAACTAACTACTAAAATTCTGCAGCATACTAAAACAAATATTTTTTGCTGATCTGACCAAAAATAGGTATAATTTTGATTAATTCACAGAGTGGCTATTGTTGTGTTGGCTGTTGTCTTTTTTTTTTTTTTATTTGACAATCTAAGGGAAAAGAGGTCGGTGCCCCTGATAGTCAGATATTGCATGTTTTAACAATTCTTGTGGCACACCACTGTGCCATGGCACATGGGTTGAAAATCGCTGGTCTAGAGCATTAGTGGTAGAGCTAAATATCCAGAATTATTTGTACAGGGTGTTTCTTATGTACTAGGCACTGCAGAGCACTTCACAGAATGTTCTCTTTCAATTCCAAGACATGGTATGAGCCAGTCATTCTTGACTCAGTTAATGTTGTAAGTTAGAATTTCAGAGCATTCAATTTGCTAGCTACTTTTCAAGGCAAGAGAACTGGAGAGCTGTGATCTCATAAGTGACTGGTCATGAAGTAAAAGTAATAATTAAGAGAGAGAGATAAGCAGAGAAATCTCTCTCTCTCTCTCTCTCTCTCTCTCTCTCTCTCTCTCTCTCTCTCTCCCCATCTCCCCTCTTCTCCATCCCACTCCTCTCCCTTTCCAGGCATCCTCAAGCTAGCTGGCCTAAATCAGTGGTCAGCAAACTCATTAGTCAACAGAGCCAAATATCAACAGTACAACAACTGAAATTTCTTTTGAGAGCCAAATTTTTTAAACTTAAACTATGTAGGTAGGTATATTGTTATTAACTTAATGAGGGTACTCCTAAGCTGGCCTTTGCTAAAAACGTCCTCAATCTGATTGAGGTTCGTTTGCTGAGGTTGACCCCTTCCAACGCTCCCATCCACATTCGACTTGTATACTTGTTTCGTCTATCTCCTTTCATTCATCCTCTCTATATGTCTACCCTCCACTTCTTCTAACACCACTTCTTCAAAATAGACTTGCCCAGGCTGAAAACTGACTTCTGCGCATGGGCCATGAAGTTTCAATCGCACTGTACGTGCGCGCCCGCACATGGTATTTTGTGGAAGAGTCACACTCAAGGGGCCAAAGAGTCATATGTGGCTCGCGAGCCATGGTTTGCCGACCACTGGCTTAAATAATCATTATGTTAAAAACCACAAAAAGCATATTCCAGATACTGAAATTAATTTTTCAACCTGCTTCGATATTTTTCCTAGCTTCCTTTCATTGAAAGCCTTCCAATTTTTATGTGATCTAAGACTACAATATCTTCCATTTTACAACACTTCCTTATTTTAGATCCTGGATCATTCTTTGAAGGCATAGCCCATATTGTATAGCTCCTCCATTAAATAACCCTCCTAGGCTTGCCCTTCCCTCTCTGATCTAGTGCATCACTCTAAACCTGGTCTGGGACCCTCCCTCATATGAACACTCATCCTCATCCTGATCATGTTCTGCCTGTGAATGGGAAAAAATAGTCAGCCTCTATGAATGTTCCTTTTTGGATTCACATATCTCACCTTCTGATCTCTGAGTCTTTGCTTATCCTAGTCTCTGTCAATACAGTAATGTCTAGTTCTTTCCCCAATTCCTCTTCCACCACCTCTTCCAGTGAAATACACACACATCAAACTGCAGCACAAATACCATCTTCCACAGGCAATGTTTCCTGTCTCTTGTTACCAAGATAGTATTTGCTTTCTTCCCTCTGTGAGTCTCCATAACACTTTTTTCCCCCTGATTAATTACTACAACTCAAGTTCCCCAAGAAGATGACTCTGGATATTAGTATAAAAGTTTTTTGTTTTTTTTAATTTAGATTTAATTGGTTGGAAAATGTGGAACACTTCATGAATGTGCTTGTCACCCTTGTGCAGAGACAATGCTAATCTCCCCTGTGTTGTTCCAATTTTAGTATATGTGCTGCTGAAGCAAGCACTGCAAGGAATTATATTGGAGAGTTCTCTAGGGGTCAACAGATCTGGGGAAATGAAGGGAGTGGGATTGTGCAAAGGAAATGTTGGGTGGCCATGTTGTCCCTACAGGGGCCATAGCCAACGGCATGAGGAGCTCCGGAGCTGTGATGGCTCTTCAGAGTGGTTCTGAATTATTCCAACAGGGACAAGAGCTTTACATCTCTCTCTCTACCAGTCACTGGAGGTGAGGACCTATGTCAAAGACCAAGGACAGTAGCACATAAAGAGGATTATCTGTGAGCTGTCAACACTCCTGGGGGAATGAACACTTCTACCTGAAAAGGATGGAGGGCAGGGTAGAAACATGAATTGCACAGTGCAGTCTCCACTACATCAACTTCTAAGGAATTTGGCATCTTCTGCTTTGTAGGTTATGTCTTTAACTCCTGGAAACTAGAAATTGTGTCCTAAATACTTCTTGAACTCCTTGAAGCTGTGACTATAAGAGACACTGCATAAATAATTTGCTGAGATCAATTTATGTTGTGCTCTTTCACAGAACTTCTACCTTAAAGACATTAATGAGGAACATCAGACCCATGCAATCTCTATTTTACAGAGGAGAAAACTGAGGCAAGAGTAATTATTGGAGTTGGTCAATGGAACAATTAACTTAAAAGTTTCAACAAACAAACAAACCTAGGTCTCAGGATTCTCAGGCCAGTTGTTTAAAAAAAAAAAAAGAATTACTCAATGCCCAGCTAGTGTGGCTCAGTAGTTGAGTGTTGACCCATAAACCAGGAGGTCACAGTTCGATTCCGGGTCAGGGCACATGCCCAGGTTGGATTGGCAGGAGGCAACCGATGGAGGATTCTCTCTCATCATTGATGTTTCTATCTCTCTCTCCCTTTCCCTTCCCCTCTCTGAAATCAACTGGAAGGAAGGAAGGAAGGAAGGAAGAAAGGAAGGAAGGAAGGAAGGAAGGAAGGAAGGAAGGAAGGAGGGAGGAAGGAAGGAAGGAAGGAAGAAAGGAAGGAAGGAAAATTACTCAATTAACCAAATACAAATAGTAGCTCAAAAAGGGCTTCAGTCAGGTCAAGAGTTAATAACCTCACTCCCTAAATTGTTTCTCAAAAATTCCTGCTTCTGGACCTCCCTGAGGTGCCTCAACTTGATAAGTTATTAGACTTCCTTTTGGCCCACATTCACATGAAAAGAGCCAGAATTGCAACTGCGATTTAAAACAACTTTGGCCCATTGCCCAGGGCTCATACTGTGAAGAGAGTAGAAACCATCCTCCAAGAATCTGTAAAAAACAAAACAAAACACTACAAGGGAGAAGACGTGAAGTGCCATTCCTGAAGTCATTTTCAGGAGACTTGCCACCGTCATAAAGCAGGTGAAGTCATAAAGAAACCTTTTTTTAAGACAACAAGGTCTCCTTCCCTTTCCCACCTTTGCCACCTGCTACACACATCCTGCAAGTACACTTTACTCTCCCCCACCCTAAATCATGGTGCTAGTAGAGAAAGTCACCTGTGATGGGACCTATTTCTAGGAAAACACTGGCAAGCACCCTGCTGCCTGACTCCAACCATGTGCACACATCTGCTGGTGTTGAACAGATGAGGCCTGTTAACAAAGTTTCTTGTTCACTGCCACATCTGAGAATCCCAGAAAATTGGGACAGAGAGCAGGTCTGTTTCTACTACCTGCAATATCCACTTCTGAGCATTGTCACCTTGGCTAGTTATCTCCCTTTCTCTGGGTTTATTGATACTGGGAGAGAAACATGCACCTAGAAATCATATATAAGCACTTGTGTCCTGGCCTTATTGATGGGGCTGGTAGAGCAGTTCTAGTCTTCTGTTCAATGTCAGGTCAGTGGTCCTTCAATGTGGCTTTTTCTATGTCATACATCTGATCAAAAGGCATCAAACACTCCTGATCATAAGTATAATATCAAATCCTCATCCTAGACCTCATGACCCTCAACAGACTAATTTCAAACTGCTTTTGAAATTCTCTTTCCAACCCCTCCTTTGATCAGTACTACATTCCAGCAAACTCATACTCTTGGTTTTTACATTAAAAGCATTTCCCAAGATTGCCAGTTCAGGTCCCCTCAAAACACCGTGGTGCTGACATACACTCCTGATTCTCCAAACCCTGTAAGAGGAATTGCAGAAACCCAAGTCTATTCAATATTTTCAAACTCTTCTCAATTTATCAATACATTTCCATGTCAATTAACTCACATGCTGGACTAGAGATGCTTATTACAATTCACATAGACCATATTCATACTTTGGTTTCACATAGATTACACACACACCACACATATGCACATCCTTTACATTTGCATAAATGCACAGTTTTTTTAATCTTATTTTTCATTAGAGTTTGCATTACTTTTTTGTATTAGTTTCAGGTATACAGCACATTGAATAGATATTCATATAGGTTACAAAGTATTCCCTATAATAATTCAAGTACCCACCAGGCACCATTGAGAGTTATTACAGAATTACTGACTGTATTTCTTATCCTATCTAATAAAAGAAAAGGGTAATTGACTGTACCTTCGCTACACTTCCCATTGGCTAATCAGCGAGATATGCAAATTAACCACCAACAAAGATGGCAGCCAGGAGCCACGCAGCTGAAGCAAGCAGGAGGCTTGCTTGCTCCAGTGATGGAGGAAGCCAAGGTTCCCCGCCTGCTGCAGCCCGGCTCTGAGCTCCGAAAGCAACAAAGTTTCAATTACAGAAGCTAAACAAACTCTAGATACCTGCTTTCAGCAGGCCGTGGCCTCAAAGCTGCAGCGAGCGTGAGCCAGCTCTCAGCTCCAGTGACAGCAACAAAGTTTCAATTATAGAAGGTAAATAAATCCCAGAATTAAAAAAGAAAAAAGAAAAAAAGGAGAGGCTGGGAGCTTCAGTCACCGGCCAGCCTGAAAACGGCCCTCAGCCCCTCACCCAGACTGGCCAGGAACCCCAGTGGGGACCCCCACCCTAAAGGGGGTGTGGCCAGCCTGAAAACAGCCATCAGCCCCTCATCCAGGCTGGCCAGGCACCCCAGTTGGGACCCCCGCCCTGAAGGGGGTATGACCAGCTACAAACAGCCATCAGCCCCAGGCTGGCCAGGCACCCAAGCGGGACCCCCACCCTGATCCGGGACACCCTTCAGGGCAAACCAGCTGGTCCCCACCCGTGTACCAGGCCTCTATCCTATATAGTAAAAGGGTAATATGCAAACTGACCCTAACAGCAGAAAGACTGGGAATGACTGGTCACTATGGCACACACTGACCATCAGGGGGCAGAGGCTCAATGCAGGAGCTGCCCTCTGGTGGTCAGTGAGCTCCCACATGGGGGAGCTCTGCTCAGCCACAAGCCAGGCTGATGGCTGCCAGTACAGAGGTGGTGGTGGGAGCCTCTCCTGCCTCCTCAGCAGCGCTAAGGATGTCTGACTGCAGCTTAGGTCTGCTCCCCACTGGCAAGTGGACATCCCCCGAGGGCTGCCAGGCTGCCAGAGGGATGTCTGATTGCCAGCTTAGGCACAATCCCCCGGGGAGCGGCCTAAGCCAGCAGGTGGTCATCCCCCGAGGGGTCCCAGACTGCAAGAGGGCACAGGCCGGGCTGAGGGACACCCCCTCACCCAAGTGCACAAATTTTTGTGCACTGGGCCTCCAGTGTTTTATAACTACCAATTTTCAGGTTTTTGAAGTTCTTTCATTCTTTTCCCTGAATAGAAATCTATTTTTTATCTACACTATTTGAAATCTTACTAGTTGAAATCCTATTAGTTGAAATCCTTTAAAGTCCCACTCAAATGCCCTCTCTTCCTTCAAGACTTCTGGGGTCCCTTTGTAATCCATATGTGGCTCACATCACTTTCTGCCTTGTGTTATTATTTGTGCTCATATCTCATCCTGTCTCTATTGCATAGTAAGCTGGACCAGGGTAGAAGCCAGATGTCAACTTTTCTTCTGTTCCAACTATATCTGGCACAATGCCCTGGAGAAAGTCAATATTCAATGAATAACTGAAAAAGCATTAGGCCTATCTTCTAATAGTCACTGAGAAATATGGAAAAACAAATTTGAGGTATACTTCAAAATATTTTTGTTACCTTTTTATTGAAGGTTACTAGAGGCAAAATGTTCAACCATTAGGTACTGTATATAAGTAGAAAATCTGTAAAAAGTGATTAAAGGCATATAACCATCTCCAAGATAAATACATAGAACGTGATTTATACTGCAGAAATAACTACCTGCCCCTGGCTCACAGTCAACTCCCAAAAGTAATCACTATTCTGATATCTACCACCTTAAATTTGTTTTCATCAGTTTATAAGAATGGAATCATGTGGTATGAACTCCTATGTGTCTATTTTCAGTTTGATGTTTTTGCTCACTATTATGATTTTGGATTTATCCCTTTGGTTACCTTGTAGCCTAGTTCAATTTTTATTGTTAAATAGTCTAATGTAATAATGATTTGTTAATGTTGGTGAACTTTTGGGCTATTTACAGTTTGGTACAATTATGAGTAAAGCTGTTATGAACACGTGTACGTGTCCTTTGGTGCAATGGGTATGCATTCTGTTACATATTTAGCAGGACCTGAAATTGCCATGCCATTGTGTATGCACACGTTCAGCTTTAGTTGATATTACTGTACAGTTTCCTAAAGTGGTTTGACTGGTTTGAACTACCATCAACATTGTAGTTATAGTCAGAGATCCTGTTGCTTTTTTTTTTCCACCACCAACACTTTCTTTGAATTCCTGTACTTATCATGGAACAATAGCAGCTCATGAATCAGCACTATTTGTGAACTGAGTTTGGGTAGAGCTGCTCTAAACAGAGTATCATATTCTTGTGCTTAATCCTCAACTACCTTATCAGGTAAGTTCTTTTATTTTCTCAATTTTTACAAACAAGAAAAGTGAGGCACAAGGCTTTATGTGACTGGTTCAGGTCATGCATCTTATAAATGTTGGAGACAATATGACC